TATAACTTTTTTTCTTTATTTTAAGTCCCCGCGGGAGATAACGGCAACCTAAAGCTATTGTTTTCCAAAAAAAATACGATATTCTTCAATTAGATAAAAATCTCTAATGACCGAGAGTTGTTAAATTTATGCTGTTCAATTCTTAAAAGCAAAAAAATCATCGCCTTAAGAAAAAACATTTGGGTTGATCACGCTTGGCTGGTTATCTGGTTATGTGGTTATATTTTTTATTCAGTTTACAACAATAACATACATAACAGAAAAATAATTTTTAGCCAGATAACCTAATTTATATTTAAAAATTCTGGTTATTCTTCCATTGGATAAAATATACTTTATGAGCTAATGTTTGATGCATAAATATTTCTAGAGCATTCAATTACATTTCTGCATCAAAAAGATAATGTTGAAAAAAAATGTCGCTTACGTTATTTTGGCGGTTAGGGCTCGATAATGTGCGCTCATTTTTATATAATTAAAATTTTTTCTGTATAAAAAATTATGAAAATTGTTATCGTTTTAGTAAGAACGGAAACTTTTCGGATAGATGAATTTCATAAATACGGTACAGACAGCGGCTTACTGCCAAAAAAATACAAACTACTGCAGCATACCTTCTAGCAGAAGGAGAGTGAAAAAATATGGTTAACAATTTTTAACAAGTAGTTATTCTCGTAAACCTCGAGAATAAATAAATTCTAGTTAATCTATGTATGCATCTTAGCTACTCATTGTTCTATTAAGTTTTGTACATTTTCCGTTCCACTTTCTTAATAGCTAAAACACTTCTCTTTTCATGTCCGGCATTTAGTGATAAAAATCGAAATACCAACTATGCTACGCAAACACAATTTGCAGATGAAAAAAGCTTAATTAATTGCTTGAAAATATATGTACTTTCTCACCATAATCACATAAAAAACACTTCGCCAATCTAAAGTGTATGTACGTCTTTAAGTAGTGTGCTTCCTTCCCACCCTCTCTGGTGTGTATCTAAAGTCAATTAATGCACCCCCAATTTCTGGTGATATGGTAATTTGCTAATATCTTCATTTAAATTTTTAATTACATTTTTTGTTTGCAAACAAATTCAGTGCATTTTGCGATAATCGTTTTTTTAATGCTAAGGAAACTCGTTATAGCCATTAAAGCTGGCGATTTCTAATACAAATTTGCTTTTAACAGCCAGAGTTATTATCTAGTCGTTTTTTGCGCTTTTTAATTGGCCGATGCTTAGATAATAGAGCTGAGATTAACTATGGTTACTGATGTTCGTTGTCAAATAAAGTATTGTAGCAATAAATTTCGGAAGTTATATTTATGAGAAACTAGTTGAAGTTAATGCGAGCTATGAATGTGAGCAAGTTTTGTTTTGTTTTTTGTTGTTCTTTGCATTTTTTAAACAGGTTTCGTTCGAGGAACCTAGTACGCATATCTACCAGTTTCGTTTTATTTTATTTGTCCCATTGTTTGGGTTTTTAAGAATTAATTTAATCTTTTTATTTAATATCTATTTATTAATATTTCTAATTAAACAATTTTTATAACCAACCTCTATGTCATAAATGCGCTTCGCTGAGCGCAAGTAACGCAAATATCCATCTGTACGTTCTGTAGCTACAGTGAAGACTTTGATGCGTTTCGCTGAAAATAGAAATAAAAGTGCATGAAGTATGTTATGTATGCTGTATTCTTAGTAATGCTTAATAATGCATGGAGGCATGTCATGTATGTGTGTATGTATGTTTGAGTATAGCAAATAGTTTATTAGACTACAACGCATTGCACAGCACAGAGGACCATTCTTTTAAGATGCTCCTACATTGGCTAAATGAGTAAGTACATTTGAAATTTTTTTTATTTAAAAAAACTTAACACATCAACTTGCTATAAATTATCGCACTTTATTATTAATTCGGCAATAAAAATAGTCGCAACTGGTTATCAACGACTTAGTTGACTTGAGTTGATCAACTGGAATTAAAAATTAAATTGCTGTATTCAAAATTTACAAGTTCAGCTAATTATTAGCTAGTAAGGCAAATAATTTTGTTCTTTGATGCGTGATGCTTAAAGTTAATAGAAATGTTTCATTCAAGGAGATACTTATGCCACAGAATTCTATCGAACCGATTGTTAGTAAAGCTGTTAGCTTCATATTTACAAATCGCTGGTACTCTTTTGTTTTCTGTACTTATAATATTTTCAGTTATTGTGGTTGTAACAGCATACACATTTCCAAAGATCCCTACTTCAATGCTTTTCTCTCTGTGTATTAAAATTTTAACGAAAGATTCGCTTTATTGATAGCAATTAAATTGTAGTGCTCATACTCATTACTCGTATGAGTTCAAATTGGCAAAAGTTGCTTATGTAGCGCTTTCCGCAGAATATGGAAAGAACAACTGATGCATTCACGTATGTACAATCAGGGCCGGCTTTAGAAGCAATGACGCCCGCGGCGAAATGGAACGAAACGCCATTACATGATAATATGATGTTACCTCGGTTTCTTTTTCTTATACGATAATCAATTGCAGAATTGGTCGAAATAAAAAAATTTCCAATTTTTACATAAGCAAAATTTTCAGATATTAATTACAGAAGTTTACCTTGCCTGCGTTGGCTTGAGCAAATTTTTCGATGGTTTTGGGCAAGTCATTCTGAGTAGCAATCTCGTTTTCGATAGATAAGATAGCTAAAGCGTTTAATCTTTCTTGAGACATAGTAGATTCTAGGTACGTTTTAAGAAGCTACGTTTTCGAAAAACTTCGCTCCCTGCTGACAACAGTCAACAAAATCCTGAGAGAAGCCCAAAAATTAGGAGATATGTACATCCAAGACATTTTTCTTGACGAAATTCAAGAACCTCCAATGGCCATTTCATCACTGCAGGTTTAATAGGGCGTACGTGATCGAACTTCTCCTTCTTTCTTCTTTTTCGAGAGGAGCATCATGACCAAATTCATAGCCCTTATTTCTGTGGGTGGATAGAAATTCAGCGCAATTTTCTATTGACTCAGTGGCTGCAGCGATGTCCATGGTTGTACTCTGCATTTTTTTTTACTCGCGAGATTGGCCTGGAATGGGATGTCATAGTAAACAACCAGGGAGATTAAAAATTCAAATCGCAACATTTTGTCAGCCAAGCATTTAGCTTCATGGTGGACGGCAGGATATTTCAAATTATAGTGAAAATCTCCATTACGACACAGTAGATAATTTCATGAGTTAAAAGCCCTTCCTTTTATTTTAAAGGATTGCTGCTTGATCCAGTAGAGAGGGTCGGCATGGAAACTAGTCCTTTCCATTCGCCCTACAGTACGGCTCAAGATCTAGATCCTTTCCAGTAGAGAGGGTCGGCATGGAAACTAGTCCTTTCCATTCGCCCTACAGTACGGCTCAAGATCTAGATCCTTTCAGACCACTTGTATAACAGGAATATTTAAAGATAGATTGGCTCGGAAACTAGTACTTTCCGACTGATCACAAATTACTTTATAGCCTTTACATATGACCACAAAGCCTGAAGTGAAGTTGCGACTTGGAATAAAGTCCACAGCAATGGTACAGGAAGTGCGGCTCTGGAACTCGTCCTTTCGGGCCGCCCACCTAAACAGTACCCAACATTCGGGCTACTCGGGATCCCGTCCATTCCGACAGCCACGGTCACACTTATAATTTAATTTAATATAATTAATAAAATTACCTTGTTTAAATGTATATATATTTGTACAGGATAAATGTTAGGATAGTCCTCTCAAAAAAATGTGTAAGAACAAAATATGTAGTGAAATAAGAATATTGTTTTCATGTATGATTGTGATCCTGTGATGTAATGTATGCATATATCAATATAAAAACTATAAACCCAAAATTGTACCAAATAAAATAGTAAGCAAATATTGTAAATTTTCAGACTTGTTATAGGCCTTTAAAGGCTGTCAATAAATGAATAAATAAATAAATAAAGGCCTTCCGAAAGGCTTCTTTAATTTATAAAAATCATACATCTTTAAAGTATTTGCTACACCGCTGTGGTGTAGTGGTAAGCAGTGCGCGCTTCCACTCCACAATGCCTGGTTTCAAGCCCTAGTCAAAGCAACATCAAAAAATATAGAAAACGGTTTATTTCTTAACAGCGGTCGTACCTCGGCAGGCAATGGCAAACCTCCGAGTGTATTTCTGCCATGAAAAACAGCTTCTCATAAAAATACAATCGCCGTTCGGAGTCGGCGTAAAACTGTAGGTCCCTCCGCTTTGTGTGACAACATCAAGGCGCACGCCACAAATCGGAGGAGAAGCTCGGCCAAACACTAACATATGTGTAAGCGCCAATCTATTATTATTATTATTATTATATCAAATATGTTCTATTGCAACTTAAAATGTTTATTGAAATTCACTTTTAATGATGGTAAGGAATATAAATTTATGCGTTCGTGTAAGTTGCAAATGGAAAAGCCCTCCTAGAAGACATGCAAGAAAGTAATTTTTCAGTCCTTCTCGGGTAGGCCTGTTAGAATGGCTTTACTTACAACTAAAACATGCATATTCTGTAAGAAGAAGTAGTACGCCCTCCGCCAAATTCAAGGAATACCCTTCCCATGGTACAAATGGTGCTCGGGAATATAGTTTGTGGACCCCGGTTTGATCTACTTTGATTTGTAAATAACTGATATTTATGTTGTTGTTTTCAAGAGTTGCGATAGAAGATTCGTAGCCCCCCACCCGTCGATGAAGAAAATTCACATTCGAAAATTGTATGCAATAAAAAATCAAACGCCACTCCCTCCTCCCCTCGGTTTGGCGCCCAGATCACCACTTTCAAATAAGTGGGGTAGTCTGAAGTTGGAATAATAGCGTGAAAAAAAAGCTGACGGCATAACTTCGTCATATT